AACTGTGGTCAATGACATGAGACAAAGTATATGTGAACTGCTGTATGGAAAGTGAATTTGCTCTGTAAATCTTCACCCAAATCACAATAAATAATAAAAAATAAAATAAAATAAAAATAATGATTGTCTACTGGGAAAAAAAAGAAAATAATTGAGCTCACGAGGAACCTGCAAATAGAGCAAGAGGCCATCATTAGAACAGAACAAGGGGATGCGACATCCCCTTGAAAATTATGAAAAGCGTGCGTTAGGTTGTATTCTTTCCCATAGTTAATCTGCATGCTGAGGAAATAATTCAGGATGCTGGACTATATGAACATCAGGACTGGAGAAGACTCATATAAATAAATAAATGTGAAGACTCATTAACAACCTGTGTTATACAGATGACACATCCTTGCTTGATAAAAGTGAAAAGGACTTGAAGCAGTTACTGATGAAGATCAGACTACAGTCTTCAGTATGGATTACATCTCAACATAAACAAACAAAAATCTTCACAACTGGATCCGTAAGCAACATCATGATAAATGAGAAATACTGAAGTTATCAAATATTTCATTTTACTTGAATCCACAAGCAACACTCATGGAAGCAGCAGTCAAGAAATCAATGTATTGCACTGGGCAAATCTCCTGCAAAAGACCCCATTAAAGTGTTAAAGAGCAAAGATGTCACTTTGAGGGGTAAAGTGTACCTGACCCAAGCCATGGTATTTTCAATCATCTCATATGCATGCAAAAGATGGACAACAGATAAAGAAGACCAAAGAAGAACTGGTGCCTTGAACTATGGTGTTGGCAAAGCATATTGAATATACCGTGGACTTCCAGAAGAATGAACAAACCTGTCTTGGAAGAAGTACAGCCAGAATGCTCCTTCGCAGCAAGGATGACAAGTCTTTGTCTCACATAGTTTGGATATGCTATCAGGAGGGACCAGTCCCTGCAGAAGGACATCATTTCCGTAGAGGGTCAGTGAAAAAGAGGAAGACCCTCAATGAAATGGACAGAAACAGTGGCTGCAACAATGGGCTCAAACAGCAACAACGGAGGATGGCACTGGCCCAGGCAGTTTCTGTCCTGTTGTACACAGGATCGCTATGAGTGGGAACTAATTTGACAGTGAGAACAAGAAGAAGATCTCAACAGGTAGGTTCTATTGCCTTTCGCTGGATTGCCTATTAAAAATCTATCCTGGTAGATAAATGATGTTGCTGTTGTTAGGTGCTACTGAGTTGATTTTTGACTCATAGTGACTCAGGTTGTTAATGAGTCTTCCTCCAATCTTGATGTTGTGCTCTTCTTCATATAGCCCAGCCTCTTGAATAATGCTATTCAAGAGCCATAAATGCTAGCTAGGTAAATGATACTACACCATTTCTTTCCCTTATTTTAAGCAATAGCTTACACTATTAAACAACAGAGATGCCAGAGTTAATGGAGTTTACAGTTTGACTGAAAACCAAAGTAAACCTGCTATTATGGAGTCAATTCTGACTCGTGGCAACCCCATGTGTTATAGAGTAGAACTGCCCCATAAGGTTTTCTTTACTGTAGTCTTTACGTAAGCAGATTGGTGGGCCTTTCTCATGGCATTATGTGTGGGTTCAAACCATGAGTAGTTGAGTGCAAACTGTGTGCCACCCAGGGACCTCTACACTTTGACCAGCAGTGCAGTTTTTGTATGTTGGGCTGACTGCGTCCAAGGATTATTTCTCAGTGTTCTTGGATATTGTAGGACATCCTTAGCCATAAATATAGATATGTGTCACTGCCCCAATTCACTGAACTTCCAGTTTCAGGGTCTGAGTCCCTTCAAGGCTGTGAGATATGTATTTTCTTCTAGGTGCTGATGGAAAAATCTTGTTCCTAAAGTAAACAAAAAGGGTCTCTTGTACCTGTGACTGAGAATTCACTAAGGCCTCAAGATAAAATTCAAATGTTAGGTGATGGAAGGAGTAAAATGTAGTTCTGATTAAGCCAGACCAGGGACACAGATTCATCCACATAGTCTTCCACACCTGTGCGCAAAATTTTCACTTTGAAATTTCAGATGAAAGTCAAACCTATCTTGTGTATCATGTCACTGACCTCTTTATGGCAGACAGTGCAGAGCGTCTGAAGGTTGTCCAGGGAGCACTGTCCTCCTCCATCATAGACTGGCTTGATGTGATCCACTTGCCAGAAATGACCCTCTACTGGGTTTCTTATCATTTCATTTAGCTGCAGTAAGAAGACAACATCAGCAATTTTCAACAAACACTGTGGGAACTGTTGATTTTGCATTGTGCAGTCATGGTTATACAGCAAAATCACAGGGAAAAATGCATTAAGATGGCTTTTTATAACTTATTAGGAACAGGAAAAAAAACACTGGGTTAGCAATTTGAAGGCAATAAAATAGGTTTCCGAAAAAGCTTTTTTCCCCCTTACCTAACTTATTTTGAAAACATTTCCATGCAAGTATAAAATATCAAGACTCCTGACAGACTGGAAAAAGCAGTTGCACCTTTGGGTTAGTTTACATATTCAGTAAACTAAACTGAAAAAAGAGTAAGAACAGATTGGAAATTAAGAATTTCTGATTTTACTGACCCAAGCAATCTTTAAGTGTTGACCTTAATGCTTTTGTGAAATTATTAATGACAGTTAAGTATTAATAGCTATCACTCAGAGCTTTTATGCTATTTACGAGGGAACTTCCCAAGTTATATGGACTGGGATGAAATTTCCAGAACATACCTCTCTAACTTGCATATCTGGAATAAACAAATATTTTTGTTTTGTTTTAAAATTAAGCAGCCACTATGTAGACCAGTATATACAAGAACCAAAAACCAAACTCACTGCCACTGAGTCGACTCTGACTCATAGTGACCACCACTGGGTTTCCAAAGTGGTATATCTTTACGGAAGTAGACTGCCCATCTTCCTTCCATGGAGCAGCTGGTGGGTTTGAACTGCCAACCTTCCAGTTAGCAGTCAAATGCCTTAGGCACTACACCACAGAGCTCCCTCCTAATACATATACATATGTGTGTGTGTATATATACACACACACACACATATAAAACCAATGATGACCTATACTAAAATGAGATGTATTTTTAACATTTAACAGAGGTTATTAAAACAACTCATACCATAGCTTTATGACTGTTTAAATATCACAAAGATGAGCATGAAGGTTATTCTTTTTTTTCCCTTGGTCTTGGGCAAGAAAGGAATTATAATTAGGCAACACCATGGCTACCAGCCACAGGTACCTCTGAGGTAGTTCTAAAGTACTTTTAAGAACACTTGTCAGACTAGAAGCATGGCACGGTCACCTGATCAATTGTACTCAGTCCATGAGGAGCCCAGAAGCTCTGAGAGGCAGCAAGCTGAAGCAGTCAACTTTGTTTAGTTGAACTCTGTTACAGCTTTCTTTACTTACACTCTGTACTGAACTTTCCAAACTCTGTTAGATTTATAATGATTTTTACTTTTGAGGTTGGCAATGTTAGAAAGAACTACAAATGGCAGTCCTATGCATCAAACAAAGGGCATATTAGCAAAAAAAAAAAAATCCATTTTGTTTTGCCTTCTGTAACCAGTTTTGCTCTGAGCAGGCGCCACTCTGAAAGACATCCAGAAAGTGCTTCTTTATTCTTCCCACATCACATTGGGCCACTCTTCATTGTCCTAAATTCACCTCTTGAAAGCAGCACTCCACCTCTGACTAATCCTCCCCAGTCTGAGCCCCATGGTGCTCCTGTGCTCTAAGCACTTGTAATGGATGTACACAATGTTACTTCTGAAGTCCTGGAGAGGCTATTTTGAAAATGTCCTTGGGTCATATCATTGTGTGTCTTTTGGAATCCAATGCACTGAGGCACCAGATGGTGAGCGGAGTTTGGCCAATACTGCCATGAAGGGTGCCAAACACCCCTCCCAATTGAACCAAAGAGTCTTTCAGGAACTCTGATGTCACTAGAGAGAGACTGTGTTTCCCTGGCTTTCAAAGACATGCTGATTCGTCTTTGTGGATATGCTCATTAATTTATTCTATCATAATTCAGCAATACTAGGTGAATAAAATGTATGATTTCTCTAAACGGCAGGAATTTATCCAACATTTTAGTGGGCAGAGGGTGACTCAGGAGTGATCCTTTTTGAATAAGCAACTACAAAAATTACATTTTGCCCTAGTTTGAAATTTAAAACTGATTAGATAATGAAATTAGAAACCTAATCAAGTTTTGGAAATCAAAATGAATACTGATGATAGTGCTAAGGAGAATATTTTGACAAAATGTTCTACCAAAATTACACTTTACAATAGAATGAACACATCTAAATTGCCTTCTTGCTATAATGGACTACATTTTGGGGGTTATCATTTGCCTCTTGTCATTCGATATTAGCATCAGGAAAGGTGGAACAACCAGGTATCAGGTACCTCTTGATGTGACGCACCATCTCTTAAAACCTCTTCCCAAAATAACTGAATCAGAATCTAATTAAGCCTCTGTGTCTTACAACTGTTATACAAGAAATACAGAGGGATAGAGGAATAAGTCAAAAAAACACTGTTAGGGTACAGGGAGATAATTCCAGAACATGGGAAATACAACAGGCAAGTTATTTTTTCAACAATTAATGATCTAAAAAAGGGAAGGGTTGCTGTTATAGATTACAGCAAAAGAGGCATATTGATCAAATGCAATGTGTGCACCATATTTCAATCCTGATTTGAATAAAACAACTATAAAAAGATTTGTTTTGAGACAATTTGGGAAAATAAAACATGGATTTATTTTTATTAAGGAATTATAATTGTGTTGGGTGTGATAATGTGTACTGGGGTACTGGGTTTATATAAAAAAAGAAAGTCTTTACTGGTTAGAAATACATAATGAAGTCCTTATGTATGTGAAATGAATTATTGTCTGGGATTGCTTTAAAATATACCAGGAGAACAACAACAACAAAAAAGAAACAAGGGGAAGGATAGATGAAATAAGAATGGCAAAATATTGATAACTTTTGAAGCTGGGTGATAGGTATACGGGTTTCCTATTCTCTCTACTTTGTATATATATATTTGAAAATTCCCATGTTAAAAAAGAAAACTAGTGAATCAATACGAATCCCTCAGAATGTTATCCTATCGACCATATGATTCTATTATAAGTTACCTGTTCTAATGGAAGCTTTGAGGTCCAGGTAATATCCAGAAGATCCTTCCTCTGACTTTTAGGGGCATCTTTCAGATGTAAAAAGAGTTCTTGTGCATTAAAATTACATAACTGACACACACCACGTTCAGTTTCAAATACTTTGGCTCGCAAGTAACTGTTATTAGATCGAATCCAAAACTCCTCCTGACATTTCAGAGAGCAAAAGCGTGAATCCCAGGTGTTCACTTTATACTCTTGCTTAGTTTGGCAAGTGGGTTGCTGACAACGAAGGCAAAGTGGATTCCCTTCACTATCCACAGCTTGCAAATAGCCTTTGGAGGTAGAAGGTTTCACAGTGAGATCAGCTTGGGCTGCACAGGGATTAAGAAATGGGACACAGGCTCCATCTCCAAGAAACTTTCTGTAATAGAACAAAACACTTAATTGTAAGTAATTTAAAGATCACTTTAGGCTAAATTGTCATTGCTTCATATAAAAGTCTTTAAAGTGTCTATACTGATAAAAAGTAAATAAAGAGCCCCCACAGACTTTGTCATTCAATGTGGTAATGAAATAGCTTTAGTCAGCACTCTCTATTTCACACCAAGTAAAGAAAAGAATAGTATGTTTAAAATAATAATAATAATTTGAATACGGATATGTTGCCTCTCGTGGGAATTTAGATGACTTCAAGTAAACGATCAGACTTTGATATTTCTGGAGAAGTTGGAAAATGAGAAATCAGAGGATGGCCATCATAGCTAATGTAAAACTCCAGCTAAAACCTTAGTGGCTACCTTGGTTTCAAAGTGTATTGAGGAGAGAGGCCATGACTAAGGTTTCCACAACTGCTCTATATGAGCCTCTGCTGACCTACTGGAAACAGAATCTTCACATCTGCAAAGTGAAAGAGTGAAGAAGCTGACAACAGTCATAGGAACTGAAACAGAAGACTTGCTAAATATTGTGCCTCAGAGTTGACCAAATTAAACTTAGAAATGGAGGTACTCTATTGTGAAAGCTCTTTGTAACCTCTAGAGTGGCTACACAAAGGCCATTAATGCAAAGTTAAAGGAGTAGTCTTAGTACTACTATATCCTACTAGTAAAATCCTTACTTTGTGGAAGGGCCCCTAGATTCCTTTGTGATCAGTCGGACATAGCCCCCATCATTCTTCACCTTGTCCATTGAGGCTGCAGCAACATCTTCTTTGGTTATGTATCTGTAAAACAATTACATGTTAAACACACTTTCTCTCTCTTACTTAACAATTTCTCTCTTTCACGATCATAAAAGCCATAAGAGAAAGAGCAAGACACATTTCTACTCATTGTGTTAAAATTAAAGTGAAGAAATGGCATTTTCTCCTTTATATTGGTCTACATTATGTGGAAAACATATATACATGCTGCTCAAGGGCCATGGAGGCGGTATCTTTTGACCTCCTTTAACTGCACAAGAGGAAGACAGAAGCACCATCAGCAGGCAAGGTCTGTTCCTGTGAGGCCAGACATGCCGCCACCCTCCAGCTCTCTTACCAACCTTGACACCAACCATCCCTCCTATGGCACCTCTTTGCTGGGCTTGATAATGCACTGCAGTGGCCATACAGAGCTCACAGATTATGGGGTTTATTAGGAAAGCAACAGGCTACAATTCAAGTTCAGGAATCTGCTCAGGATACAGTTCCTCAATCAGGACAGTCTCCCCTCTGCTGTGCCCTTAGACATGCCTCTCTGGCCCTTGGCCTCTAGACCTGGCCTCTGCCTCTGTGGGCCAGGTAAGCCTGCCACTCTGCCCAGTGCCTCTTGGTTCCACTGCTGCTGTCTCTCGGCCGGGTATCTCTCTCAGCTGGGCACCTCTCTTAGCCAGCAGTGACATTCCCCCTCTGTCTGTAGGAGGGTTCATTTTAAGCTGGGTAGAGTGGCAAAACTAACCAATCCCAACATCAGAGTTCTCATGAGACAGCGAACTTTTCCAGAAGATTACTTTGTGCTGCTCCAACAGAAATATCCCAGGTGGATGGCTTTAACAACCAGGAGTTTAAAAGTAGCTACTCAGTTGCTCATGGCAAATTCCAGCACAAAGTTAATTGCCAGTCTCATTACAGGAAATAACTACTGCCAGTTGACCAGCCAAACTGACACACATTTGCATGGTCCCACGCAGTAATACGGTGGGAGTTACAAAGAGTATGGCTTTTCTAGCCATGCAACTCACTACACCATATATATATATATGTAT